TAAATAAATAAATAAATAAATAAATAAATAAATAAATAAATAAATAACAACGACAACGACAATGACATACTTATTTGTGGGTCTCCTTTGTCCTTCCCTCCCACAACCACAAACAATACACACATAAATCTATATAGTGCTCCGTCCCTCTGAAGCAGTGGACTGTGTGCCCATGAAGCCTCCTGCCCAATAAAATCTGCGAGCCTTAGAGGTGCCACAAGACTCTTAGCAGAGCACCATCCTTTAAGTCAGCTTGGCATCCCTCCATTATGCATCTCCTCCCCAAAAAACAGCAGGAAAAGTTCCAAGAGATTGCGGAGGTGGGAAATGATTGCCGTTTTGGGGCGCCCATCTGAGAATTAAACTGGCAGAATGCCCCATGACATTCAGCAGGTCCTGCTCCTGAGTAGACGGGTGGAGGGTAAGGCTGCTGCTGGTCTCCCATCTTGGATGTTATTCATTTCCATGGGTATTGTGAGAAACAAGCCTCTTGGGGCAGCCGGGTGCGACTGATGTGTCTTCTCCCTAGGTGGTCTGCTCTTTGAAGGAATTCAACGAATACAGGCAGTACTTGACTTCCCTCAAGCTGGAATTTGAGAAACACTACATGAGAGAACAAGTGAGTCCTAGATTCAGCAGGATGGTCCTCCTTGGAGTCCTACTGCATCTCTCCAAACAAGCAGCCGCGGGGAAAGGCCTTTCACGATCAGCTGTTTGCAGGAAGGGGAAGGCGAGGCAGGGTTCGCAATGCTCTCTCTCTCTCTCTCATCTTTTTTCCTCTTCCTCCGATTCCCAGAAAATGCTGGAAAAGCAAGTCACTAAGCTGCAAGAGGCCAACCTTCTCCCTGAGGGTGCAGACACCTCCAAATATCGAGACTGGATGCTGAAGGAAGAAAGACCCACCATCCTGGAGCAAGAAGCTGTGATGAGGAACCGGTAGATGATGCTGCCTCTTTCATGGGGACTGAGAGCAAAACTAGCACCGGAAATGGGGAGTGGATGAGGGGAGTGAATGGGTGCCTCTCTCAGCCAGGGCCGGCCCTCCTGTTAGGCAGAGTGAAGCAGTGGCCTCATGTAGGAGGTGCTGGTGAGCCAGTGGTGGGCGGGGCTCGGCTACTATGTCTCATAACCTCTGGCCATTTCCCCCTCATGGACGCCAGAGGACTCTTTCCCTAAGCTGGCCTGCGAGCCACTGGGGGATGGAGGAGGTTGGCTTGTCACCAGGGTGGAAAAAGACAACACACACACACACACACACACTCAGCGTTTGTGGCTTCTTTGAGGAATGGTAGCTGTTTTGGGTGTGGTTCTCTTGGTGGGCTTGAAGGCAGAAGAAGCAGAGCAGGGTTAGCCAAAGCCATTTATTCCAACTGGAGGAGGTACCAAGGTATACAAAGAAAAAGGAAGAATAGGATGATATCTTTACTGAACCACTAAAAATAATAACAATAATCACACGGATTGCCAGCTTTTGTGGGTAAATGACCCACTGTCTCAAGCTGTGCACCATAGTGCAGAAACAATTGCAACTATTGTAGGTCCGAGTCCCAAAAACCGCACAGCCCGTATCCATGCCGAGTCTGTGAGCACGGGGTCAATTAAAGTGAGCAGGGAGGCGTGGTTGCAAGTTTCAAGGAAGTGGGAGATTTATCTACAAAAACTTGCAATTTGTGTGGGGTTTTTAAGTGGGTCATAAAAATATTGGTGCTCCCTAGTCACGCTGGCCACGTGACAACGGAAACTGTCTTCGGACAAGCACTGGCTCTACGGCTTGAAAAATGGGATGAGCACCGCCCCCTATAGTTGGACACGACTGGACTAAAAATGTCAAGGGGAACCTTAACCATAAAAGTATCAACTTACTCTTGCATTCGTGTAATTCTGAACCACACAACCTTTTCTTTATTCTCTAAAGAAAAAGGAGTTTGCCTACTGCTTTTCTAGGGAGAGGTGTTTCTCTCTTCACCAATCAGGAAGTGGCACTTAATCAATTATTTTTGCAAAGCAGATTAATTCTAGTGGTTTCAGACCATAGGAAATGGAAGGAAGGAATTTATGGAATGAGGAAGTAGCAAGACCATAATCCAGACCCTTAGGCAACAGAAACAAATACAAGTCCGTCCCCTATTCCCCTCCGTCCCCCAGTCCTTTGGCCATGGAAAACTTTATTCAGTCAGTCTGAAACCCTGCTTTGTGGGTAATGGGTTACGTATAATGGAGAAAGGCACAGAGATCTGGAAACATATAAAGAAGCATAAAGGGGCATGACATTAAACGCTCCCGAAGAGTAAGCCTCTTGATCTTGGGTTCAGGCAGCAGAACATCTCTGGCCAGTCCTGCTCTCAGCCCAGCCCAAACATGCCGAGATCGAGGAGGAGCGGGCCAAAGCCACCCAGCCAATTTCATGGCTCCCTGTGGAGTGGAGGGTGGATTGCCCTCGCCCCGGGGTGTCCCACCACTGCATGACCCTGAGGCCGACTGGCTACCTGCAGAAACCCAAAAGAGAAGAAGAAAAGGACATGGGATTCAAATACTTTTATTTTATTTTCTTAAAGGTATTTGGAGCTGATTAACCAGGAATTGGAAAAACTGGAGCAGCTTGCCGAGGAGAATCGGCACCTCGCCTTAGCCCAGGACGATGCCAAGAAGCAAGGGTCGGAGAAGAGGAGGCAGCTTCTCCTCCGGAAGAAGATGGAAGAGGTGGGGCACCTGAGTGGGGCAGGAGATGGGGCCGGAGGGGCCCAATGAGAAGCCCCTGGGGCAGTTTCACTTTGAAAAGGACTTGAAGACCTAGAATCCATCCATCACTCATCTTTATCCCTTGGCTCCCACAAAAAACAAAACAAAAAACAAAAACCCACAATCTTATAGGTGAAAACAAAATAGAACTAAAAAGTACAAAAAAGACAAAAAACGTGGTGGCACCTTTAATGTTGTAAATGTGGTGGCGTCTTAAAAGACGATTTTTAATACTGTATGACGGTAGTGTCTTTGATATACTTAAATAGACTATCACCAGAACGTTAAACTCCCAGTGACTTTCTTACCAACCAACCATGATCTCTGTATTTTGATACCTGTACTTTGATGCCATATATAAATATTTGTCATGCTCTCTTAGGTCTCAAAATACACACACACACACACACAAAAACACACACACACACACACACACACACACACACACACACACACACACACACACACACACACACACACACACACCCATGTGGTTACTCCTTCTACATTAAAACCAACCAAACCCTTGTCACTTCTGAGTGAGAAACCCTTTGTTCCCAGGAATGGCGGAAAAAGGAGATGATGCTCCTGATGAAAATCGGCGATGACGTGAAGCGAGAAGCCAAGATCGAGGAGCAGCGCCGGAAGAGCAAGGAGGAGAAGCTGAAGCGGGTGAGTGGAGGAGCCACAGGAGAGGCAGAGGGACCCCCCCAAAGGGGTGGCGTTTGGAGTGCTGGAGCCCTCTTGCTCCGCACACTTGCAGGCAACAGTCCGGCCACCCCGTCCGGTGTAGTACAGGGTGTTTCCAGATGCAGGATGCTTGGTGTTACCCATCCACAAACACACAACATCTTTTCTTTGGTGATTTTGTTGTTGTTGGTGGTGGTCAGAACAAGGAAAAAGATGGAAGAAAATGCTGGGTTGAAGGAAAGACAGGGTGGAGGGATTTATAGACAGAAGCTGATCATGCAAAACAGCTTCTTGGTTTTGTGGCAAGGGGCAAACGCGACTGCCTTTCCAAGGGGTGGGTGGAATTTAAGGATCTATTGAGTTTTGAAAACTTTTCTAACCCCTTAGAGCCAGATCTCATTAAATACCTGCCCAGATAGGTTGAATCATAGAGTAATTAAGTTGGAAGGGGCCCATAAGGCCATTGAGTCCAACCCCCTGCTCAAGACAGGAATCCAGATCAAAGCAGGTCTGACAAGGAGGGTGGTCCAGTTTTCTCTTGAATGCCACAGGATTGGAGCGCTCAACACCTCCCAACGTAAGAGGTAGAATTTCTGTCCTCAATGAAAATATAGCTGGATTGTTGGGGGGAAAAAAACTTGTTGCAAATAACTCAAAGGGCCGCAGCCTTGAGTAGTGAGAGGTACCTTAGGCTGAGCCCTTGCCTGGAAAAGGGCAAACGGGGGGTTCCCCAGAACGCCTCCGGCATCCGTGCCGCAGGGGCGCTCAACTTTGAACCCTGCCCTTTCAACCCTATAGAAACAAAACATGCTGGAGAAGAAGATGGCCCACCACCTGAAGAAGCTGCAGGAGCAGTTCCAGAGGGAGGGCTTCTTGCCTCCTGGCCGGCTCTTCCCCGGAGCAGCCCCTGAAGACCATGGCCCCCCAGCTAAAAGACTAGGTATGGTGGAAGACGGGGGGGGCGTTTTCCAAATAGTGGCTGGTGGGCAATAGTATCCGTCTGGGTTCATCCCCCCCTCCTCTCCTGCCCCAGGATGCTTCGCCCCCCCTCAAACAAGCAGAGACCTCCCTTTGATTTCCCCATTGGGGGGCAGCACCAGGTTTCAGAGGTCCCAGGCTCCCCCCCCATCTCTGTGTTTTTTAGGGAGGCCCTCTTCGAACCTGCCGGGTGGCTGGGGTTTAGGTCCTTCAAGCGTTGGCATTTCCCACAATCCCCCACAGTGAAGGCTGTGCCAGAGGCATTGTGGGAAATCGGCACAGCTCCTCCCCAGCTATGCCCAGGGAGTCCCGTGGCTGATGTTCACCCAAGCGCCCATCTTCCTCTGCAGGAAGGTTAAAGAGATGCTTGTTCGTTTCCTTCTGGTGCCTCTCCTTCCTGGTGCTCCTTCTCCTGCCTAGCTTTGGGCAAAAGCCACTTGACCCCCACCCCACGCCCTTTCCTGAAAGGAACCTGGAAAATGTGAGGTGGAAATTAAAACACACCTCCTCGTGGTGCCTCACGCCCCCCTTCCCTTCCTCTGTTGTTTGCATGGCACTTTGAACTGTAAGCTCCTCAGGGCAGGGATCTTTTCTCCAAGTAAACTGTATCTATAAGGACGAGGCTACAATATGAATACATCATCATCATCAGGATGAGCACCGAACTCTGGGGAATCTTATTGAGCCTCAGTTTCTGGGACTCCACAAAATGTTGCTCACACATACTGAAGCCAATCTCAGTCGCTCTGAGGACTAGAACCTTGATTTTTTAATGTCGTGAAACATGGTGCTCTCCAGCTGCTAAGTTCTAGGGCTCAGTGCCAAATTCCGAGGATTTTCACTCCTGGCGCAGGCATTTGCACCCTGACTCTCTTAGCAGCCCCTCCTATTTTCGTTCTTAAAGCGTCCATGGGCAAGAAAAGTAAAGACGACACAGGGAAGGCAGCACGCCCAGACCAGAAGCTGGAGGGGCTCCCTGAGGACAAAGGACCTGGGCTCCCTGAAGGTATGTTTTAATAATCTTAGAACAGAAGAGCTGGAAGGGACCCTCTGGATCCGTGAGTCCAGCCCCTGTCAAGGAGGCACGATGGGGAATTCGAACTCCCAGCCTCTGAGTCTGCAGCCAGAAGCCTAAACTTCTGGCCTCAGGGGGTGTGGTTTCAAGTCCTACCACAGCACGCATGAAAAGTGATATCGTTCCGCCTGTCTTCTCTCCTGTGGCCGCCTTCTCCCCGCTCCCCATCTGAACCCCGTTTCCCCAGGAGGCATCCCTGCCCGGGAAACCAGCCAAACTTCCCTCTCCAAAGCACAGAGCAGCACGAAGCCGTCCCTTGTGATGCTGCCGCCTGAGTCTGAGGCGGTCCCCCGCAAGTCTGCCTCCTCCCACGAGGTAAGATTTCCCCCTCTGCCCTCTCCATTCGGGCAGGGATTGAATCCTGTGTAAAACAGGCAGCCTTCTCCTGAAGGGCCAGGCGGCAGACAGCCATGGGGTGTCCTTGTGTGTGTGTAGAGTCTATGATCACTTGACTGGCTTTGGGAGGACTGATAGCGTTGAGGGGGAACCCAAAGGCCATCTAGCCCAGCCCTGTCCCAGAGCAGGTGACCCACAGGCCAGGCGTCCCTCGCAGACGGCTTGTCCAGGCTCTGCAGATGAACTTTCAACTATAGTGCTCCATCTGGTGAGGGGAAGGGACTCCCAGAGACACCCCCCCGGGCTGTTGGCTCCTGTCAGAAGGGAGTGCTGGGTTCGACTGGGTGCCGCTCTCCCTCAGCCAGCCGTGGGACCATCCACACAAGAGGTTCGGGTGTGATCCCCACAGCCCTGCTGATGCCACCGCAGAATGAGCTCCCCTGTTTCCAAAAGCAGCAAACAAATAAAACATGGCCACCCCAAACAAAGGGGCACCCCCAGAAACCCAGAGCCCTCAAAGGACCCGGAAGTTTTGGGGGCGGGCTTACAGTCTTGTGAGGAGTTGGATGGTTCTATTAAACCTCTCGATCCCTTCCCTTCTCTTTCGCGATTCTTATTCTGTAGCAAGAAACGGTCCTGGACGAGCAGGAGTCGAGCAAAAAAGAAGACTTGGTGGACTCGGAAGCAGGTAAATGCCTGGGATGGGGGGGCGCGCCAGGTGCTTCCTCCCTGCAGAGGGAGTGGGATGGGTCTGCGAAGGGGTCAGCATCCCTTCTGGAAATCCTGGAAAGGTCTGAGTTTCAGGGATATCTACCAGTTGCCCTGAGAGGCCTATTTCCCTTTTAGCAGCCAGATTTTGAGGGGGGAAGAACCCTCTGTGGTTTTGAATCTCTGAAAACACCAGCCATTGCCAATCACTAGCTAAACTAAGCAAAGTTGTGTGACTGCATGGGGGTTTGATTTGCTCTGCAGGAATTGCCCGGTTTGCTCCTTTTCCCAGCAGTGGCACAGTGTAAGTGCCAGTGTGAAGTAGCCTGTCCCCAGAGTGTTTCTTGTTGCTGTTGTTGTTTAGTCGTTACGTTATGCCCGACTCTTTGTGACCCCGTGGACCAAAGCATGCCAGGCCCTCCAGCCTTCCACTGCCTCCCGGAGTTGGGTCAAATGCATGTTGGTAGCTTCAATGACATTGTCCAACCATCTCGTCCTCTGTCGTCCCCTTCTCCTCTTGCCTTGACAATTTCCCAACACTCCCAGAGTGTTTCTACCTACATCTATTTGGGCCCCTGCTAGAGACTATTGTACTCTTCCTTAGGTGTGGGTAGGATTGCTTCACTTTGGTTTGGTTCCAGCATGCCCGATTGCTGGGATTGAACCAAAGCAGACCTTGCAGCTTTTGATTTCTCACCAAATTTCAGTTTCCTGACATTGTTAAGCAGCTTAAGCAAATAGTTTAGCCACTTAACGATATTGGGAAATTAAAAACTCCTCCTGCTCCTCTGTGAAGGGAGAGAGGGAGAAAGCAAAGCTCTTGGGTTTTTCAAACCCAATAAGGCCGCTGTACCTTTTAGGATTGTTTTTTTTTTAATTTAAAGCTTGAAGGAAGAGAAGAAGGGCTGCTTTGTTTTCTTTCTTCTCTCTCTTTCTCTTTGAAGAGAGGGGGGCTAAATAGGGACATTCAAGGTCTGTAAACCATGTAGATTCAAGGATCCCAGCAAAGGTCATATCACACCTCTGTGCAACCTTAAGCGACTCCACTGAGCCTGTTCCAGCCCAATCCAACTGAGTGCACCTAAGCAAGCCCTAACTTACGAGTCTAAATTCATTCACCTTCTATGGAAGTCTAATGGATTATGCCTATTGTTGCATTAGAATCCCAACATCTGCCTGATGGTAAAATACTTTTAGCAAATTGGAACTAGTGGAGGAAACCTCAAACGCCGCAGTTCCCAACTTTGGGAACCTGGACTGCAACTCCCAGGAGCCTTCACTATGGTCTGTGCTGGCAAGGACTTCTGGGAGTTGCAGTGCAAGGACATCCAGGGACCCAAGGTGGGGAACCACTGCTCTAATGAACTGCAAAAAGCTTCCAATCCATTCTCAGCTAATGGACCCTTTCTAATGTGTTGCCTCCAAGCTTGGTGAAATCAGGAGCCTGGCCCGTGGGCTCTTGCCCCCTGTCCTTCTGCCTGCTGACTGTAGGCATCCTTTCTCTCTCTCTCGTCCTCTCCTGCAGGCGAATCTCTTCTCCCTCCAGGCTTCGGCAGCAAGGTCTCCCTCTCCAGAGCGAAGGAGGGAGGGTCTGTAGCCAGCCTTGCTGGTGGCAGCCTCAACACCCAGTCGGCAGACCTTGGCCCGGGGGCTGCAGAAAGCACAGACGACCAAGTGGCGCCCTCCGCCTCCGGGGCAGCCCTCAGCACCGGGGGCGCAGCCTCAGCCTGCGGCTCGGCGGCCGGGGGTGGCAGCAAGACGTCGTGTTGCGGTTCGGCCGGTTGCGGAAGCAAGACCTCCTGTTGTGGGTCAGCCGGGTGCGGAAGCACCAAGTCGTGTTGCGGGTCGGCCGGATGCGGGAGCAGCAAGAAGTCCTGCTGTGGGTCGGCCGGATGCAGAAGCACCAAGTGTTGTGGGTCGGCCGGTTGCGGAAGCAAGACCTCCTGTTGTGGGTCAGCCGGGTGCGGAAGCACCAAGTCGTGTTGTGGGTCGGCCGGTTGTGGAAGCAAGAAGTCCTGCTGTGGGTCGGCCAGATGCGGAAGCAGCAAGAAGTCCTGCTGTGGGTCTGGCGGTTGCGGAAGCACCAAGTGCTGTGGGTCGGCCGGTTGCGGAAGCAGCAAGTCGTGTTGTGGGTCAGCCGGTTGCGGAAGCACCAAGCTGTGTTGTGGGTCGGCCGGTTGCGGAAGCACCAAGTCCTGCTGCGGTTCTGGAGGATGCTGTAGTAACAAGTGCTGCGGTTCAGCTGGATGTGGCACCAGCAATGGGAAAGGAACCGGCGGCTCTGACTCCAGCGGGAGCAGCAGCAAACACAGGGCCGATGGGAGGAACAGCAAGAGGCCTTTCTCCTCATCCAACGGTAAGTCTCCTTCAGGAGAGGCAGGGGGATCTCATTTCATTGGAGTGGGTGAGATGAATCCACTCTGGGTTTTAGCCTGAAATTGTACAGGAGTTTTTGAAGACGTTGGACCTGGTGGGGACCCGGGACAGGGCCTTCTCTGTGGCTGCTCCCAGATTCTGGAACTCCCTCCCACTGGAAGCCAGCCCGGCCCCATCTTTGCTGTCCTTCCGCAAGCAATCAGAGACCTTTCTCTTCAAGCAAGCTTTCCCTGAGTGACAGGCTGCCTGAGTGGGATCTTGAGACGGATTGTTCTGCATTACTGCTTTGACTGGGTTTTTACTCTTATTTGTGCTTTCCATTTTTCAGAGTGGTATTTGTTTGTTCCTTTTTAGTATTTGTATATTTACTGTTTTTAGCTTTAATATTGTCCTTTAACGATGTAAGCTGCCAGTCTGGCCTCTTGTGGGAGGGAGTTCCAAAGTCTGGGAGCAGCCACAGAGCAGGCCCTCTCCTGTGTCCCCATCAAATGCAATTATGAAGGTGGCGGGACCGAGAGAAAGGCCTCTCCTGATGATCTTAACACCCAAGTTGGCTCATAATGGGAGACACGATCTCGAGATAGCTTGGGCCCAGCTAAGGGCCTTTTCTCACCAGGCATGCCAAGGTCAAGATAATATTTACCGTATTTTTCCGTGTATATGACCCACCAATGTATAGGACGACCCCCTAATTTTTACCCTTGGCGGAGGCGGAGGACCAGTCAATGGGCCGCTGGAAGAGGTGGCCAAGCACGGCTTCTCCTTCGCCTCCAACTCCGCCTCCTGCTGCCGCCTTTCATGTATAAAACGACCTTCAATTTTTCCTCTAAATATTTTAGGGAAAAGTGTCGTTTTATACACGGAAAAATACGGTCGTTTTCGCAGCAATCCGAGATGACTCTGCCCAATTATCCAAGCATGTTTTCTTGGTCAACCAATTTAGAGAGATGTACAAAGCCAGGGATGATGTTGAACCCTGTTTCTGCTGTTTTCATTCCACGTCCTGGGGTTTGCTGGTGTGCCTACAACAGAATCCCGAAAGAAGATCCCGAAGTATCTTGTGGCGTGGGGTGCCCACACATCACCCTGGGATAGCCCAAGGAAGGATGAGTGACAGGTCACGCGTGGGCCCGGCCCCCGGCCCCACACAATTCAGCTTTGGCTTCTGCTTCCGTTCCAGGAGCCCATCAGCCCAACCGGACTCCGCCAAAGGCTTCCACCAAAATGACCATGTCTTCGGCCGTCTCCCAGCACACAGTCAGCGAGGGGCCTGGCAAAGTGAAGCATAAGAAGAGAGCGACCCTGATGGTACAGCCTCAAAGCCTCGATGGCAGGAGGGGGGGAAGTGGAGGTGGCGGGGTCGGTGTTTTGGAGAGTTGTGGAGTGTGGGTCAGAGGGTCGGCCGCCGGGCGGCTCGTTTCCAGATCCGCCTGGGAGACGCGGAGCCCACGTCGTCTGGGCACCTTTCCGGCACTTCCTTAAAACGAAACGTCCCTTTCTTTAGTTTTCCCAGTGTGAGCCGGAAACTCTGCTCAAAGAAAGGAGCTCGAGCAAGAAGAGGCGAGTGGATAAGCATAAAGCAGGTGAGGAGGGTGGGGGCCGTACTGGGGGCTGGGGTGGTTTGGGGCCTTGTGCCACGGCGAGGACACGGACCTCAAGGGTGGGATTCAATCAGCTGAAGAATAACCCGTTTCAATAGCCGGGAACCCAAGAAAGCACCCCAGCTTCACCTTGGTTCTTGAACCTTCTCTGAAGAATGCTTGAGGTACCTTTTTTTCTTTAAGGAAGCAGGGCTTGTGCTGTCAAGTCACCTCTGATTTATGGTAACTCCATGAATAATCAATCTTCGAAAGGTCCTGTCTCCAACTGGCCTGCTCAGCTCTCGCAAACTCAAGCCCATGGCTTCTTTTAGGTAGTCAGCTCCTCTCGCATTTGATCTTCCTCTTTTCCTGCTGCCTTCCACCTTTCCCAGCATGATTGTCTTTTCCAGAGAATCCTGTCTTTTCATGATCTGCCTAAATTAGGACAGCCTCCGTTTCAGCATTTTTTGCTTCCAGAGATAATTCATACTCCATGCTTGCAGAAAGGGGTGCCCCTGCTTATTACTGTGAAGTCCTCGTAAAGCCCAACCAGTCATCATACAGAGAAATAGTCACAGGCATCCTTCAGTCTCGAGAGACTATGGGAACATGCTCTGAATAGAGGAACAGTGTCTAGTGTGGCTGAGAAGGCCAATTTGAGAGTGTCAATCCCTTCCACACTGAAGACAAATACAATCTGTCCCCTGTTCAGCTCCCTGATTTGGCTGGTTTCAGGACTTCCTCTTTGCCTCGGCCTGCTGGACAAGGGTCTCTTCAAAATGGGAGAGGCCATGATGCACTGCCTGCCTCCAGGCTGAACGCTCCGATGTCAGGGTTTCCCATCTGTTGAGGTCCATTCCTAAGGCCTCCAGATCCCGCTTGTAGATGTCCTTGTATCGCAGTTGTGGTCTCCTTCTGGGGTGATTTTCCTGCACTAATTCTCCACACAGGAGATCTTTTGGAATCTGACCGTCAGCCATTCTCACAACATGCCCAAGCCAACGTAGAAGTCTATTGTGGACCATCTATTGCTGCATTATTCTGCAAGACAATAAAGGGCTTTTGCTGATGGCTTTCTTCTGATGCCGCCTTTATCAAAAGCCCTGTTATTTCACAACAGTGTAAAGGAATTTATCCACCGTGGTGGCCCCACCCACAGATTGGCCCTCTGCAAAAGGTTTTGTGTAGAGATGGGGATACAGTAATTTGTATAACAAGATCCTAAAAGGGGCCAGGCTGCACTCTTTTGTCCTGCTTGTACTTTGCTGTCAGAAGCCATGAGACTTCCTGAACTGTGAGCCTTTCCTGGGGCAAGAGATAAAGTAGCCAGCTGGCCTCAGTCAACCGCATGCCCCGAGCCACAGGCAGGCTACTGGCTCCTCTCTTGCAAGGCTTTCTATTTGGATAAACAGATCTTGGGGTGGGGGCACTGCACATTGACAGCCACACTGCCCATTGTCTTCCAGAGCACAGAGCCTCAACCTCCCAAGAAAATGACTCGGAATCGTCATATTCTGCGTACCTCCAGCGCCTTCTGTCTAATTCGTAAGTGCCTGGCAGGGCATGGGAACTACAGGACACAGAGAGGAAGTCCTTTTCACATGGTTCAAGAAAAATAACCCAGGATGGGGCCCTGGAAATGAAGGGAGTGGGATCATCCCTATTGGAGCCAGTTTGTTCCAAAAGAGCCGGGGGGGGGGGCCGCTATGCCTATTGTAGCCAGAACCTAGCAGTTCGAAAGCATGTCAATGCGAGTAGATAAATAGGTACCACCACAGTGGGAAGGTAATGGTGTTTCGTGTCTAGGTGCGCTGGCCACGTGACCACAGAAACTGTCTACAGACAAACGCTGGCTCTACGTCTTGGAAACGGGGATGAGCTCTGGATGACTGGATGACATCCAGTCATGTCCTAGAGTCGGACATGACTGGATTAAATGTCAAGGGGAACCTTTGCCTTTGCAGTGCTACAGTGGATGATTCTGTGGATCTAGGCCAGGAATGTGCAGGATCTGTGGT